GGTCCCCGAGCAGCCCTGTGGGGTGGGCGTGTGCCATCCTGTCCCACTGCCTGGCAGCACCTGTCGGTTCTCTGGACACCCCTGGCTATGTGTCTCCTCCCAGCGCCATGGAACCCCCGGGAGTGGGTGTCGGGGTCACAGGGCTGGGCCTGCCACGGCGCAGCCTCGTCTCTGCTCCCCAAAGCACGTTCTCACCTCTCCCTCTCCTCCCGCTGTGATGCCACTGGGCCCGGCAGTTCCCCTGCCACAACCCAGACCCTTCGTTACTCACACTGCAAGGTCCCCCTGCTGTGCAAGGTGGCGCAACGGGGTCCTGGGACCAGGCCAGGGTCTCGGGGCCTCGCTGGCTGACCACAGGGGCCCCTCCCAGGCAGCTGTGCAGGTGGCAGCTCTGGTGATGGGTGGGGCAGGCCCCCGGGACCCACACAGGTGCCCACGGAATGAGCGTAGGCGTGGGCTGTCTGCCGCGGCCAGGGCACCTGCGATGAGAACAGACGTCAGCTCCACCAGCTTGGAAGACAGGCCCGCCCCCCATTCAGCACCCACCCCGCTCTGTGCAGGGGCCGGGAGTAGCCGGGTGCCCCGAGGCCTGCAGGGCTGGCAGGAACGTGGGACCTTGGCCCACACCCTGCACACGGGAACCGGGCCGGGGGCCCTTCACATCAGATGTCAGATTGCAGGCTTGATCGCCGGCTGGACCTTCAACAGCCAGGAAAGGGTGCCTGCTGTGTTGTCCCCGAGGGACTGGGGAAGCCACAGGACCTGCCGGGGTCGCCGGGCCGGGTCAAAGGGCAGACGCGAGAAAGCGTGGACTTGCCCTTCTCCCTCCTGGGGGTCAGGCCACCTTGCTTTAGGGAACCTGGTACCCACCCGGCCCCGGAGGCTCATAAACGTGATAGAGAACTTACTACACAGAGGCGTCCCCCTGGGCCCCAGGACGGAGACTGCTTCCCACAGTCGGGCCTCAAGGCGAACTCTTCCCCTCGGGCCCTTCCCCCGCCTCTGCCCGCCATGCCCCTGCCCGGCTGTGCTAGTGCGTTCATTCTTGTCTCCGTGAAGGGGGCGAACAGAGCCAGGGCCATGGGTGCAACAGTGGGCGCGGGCAGCCCCCGCTCGTAGGTGTCTCGCGTCCAGCGGTGAGACAGGTCCGAAACCAGGGAGGGCGGGTCCGTGGCCGCCTGGGCACGGTGTCCCCTCATGCTTCCCTGGGACATCGCGTGGGCACTGGAGGCCGGGATGTGGTCAGCACTCGGGAGGGAAATGAATGAGCAAGGGACGCCCTTCCTTAGGCCCGTCCTCCACCGGGAAGGCGAGTGCTACCTGGTCAGCTTCCTGGGGAGCATGAGGGGCTCAGACGGTGAAGGAGCTTTGAAAATGCAGGTGCCCGGGCCCCGGCTCTGCTCCCTGTGAGGGCTGTGCCGCCATCTGGTGGCTGGACGGAAACCCCACACCAAGCAGCCAGCGCGGGGCCAGGTCTCCCGGTCAGGTCAGGTCACGGAGAAGAGGGCATGTTTGTGGAGCCCCGCTGGCCGCAATCCCGAACTGTGCAGGGCCTTCACGAACACCCTGGCTGAAGGAGCGACGGGACTGTACGCAGGGACTCAGAGTGTTGATGTTGATGTTAACACATTTTTTTTTTTAACAAGGAAAGACGTTGAGAATTTGCTACCTGAAAAGGCAAAGAAGTGCATATGGTACGGGCTGCCTGACAAATGTTTCAGTGGGGCACTGATTTGTGTCTGATTGGAGAGGCAACGCCTGGAAGGAAATACCAAGATGTAACAGTGCACCACCTCCCTGGGTGGAAGGGGGTAGGTAAATGAGGACGCACAGGACGCATCCGACAGTTTGCTGTCCCAGCCGGGCATCCACACACCTCCCAGCCCCGCAGTGGGAGATGGGAGGGAGGAGGGGCAAGTTCACAGGAGACCTCACGGCTGCGGGGCTCTGCGCAGGGCGCTGTGTCCCCCTGACCTCGGGCTCTCCGTCTGCTGCCCGGGCCTCGCCAGGCTGAGTGCAAGGGCTGGTGGGAAAACCAGGAGTTCAAAGCCGGTCCTCTCCTCTGCAGCTGTGCTGCTTTTCTACGACATCCCGCCTCCCCGTCTCATTGGTGCCTGTAATTCTGAGTGAGAGCAAGAAATGACAGGGTCGGGGTGCTTTCACTCTGGTCCTTTGAGCAGTTTTACAGGCAAGTACCTTGCTTGTGCCACAGGTAACTCTTTTCATGTGCTGATCCTGTTTTGAAATCACAGGACACGACTCATTCCCACACAGGCAGCAGGTGTGCTGGGGGTTGGGGGATGCGTTTAGGAAGTCGACTAGCGGCCGGACCTGGGCAGCAGGGCCGTGGGCGAGGGGTCATGGGACGCTTGGAGGAACGGAGCTGCTCATCTCAGACTAGAAAAGAAAACCAGAGAAGGCTGAGGCTCAGAGCCCGCCATGGCCTGACAGCGTGGGGCAGCCAGGACGCGGCTCAGTTCTGATGGTGTCTGAAGCCCACTGTCCCAGGACGGCCGAGCCAAACTGGGACCTGTCCTTGAAGGGGGAGCCCTTCATTTGGTTACTACTATGGTCTTTAGATTAATAAAAATGCTGGAGGAAACACATTATATAGCAAGGCAAGTTTCATTTATTCAAATTATAGTATGAGTTTCATCCTATATAATAAAGAGCGAATATGCAAATGGTTGTCACACCCTCATGCCCTCACACCGTCATGGTTTAGACACTCAACACTGGGGAGAGAGGAATGGGGGCCAGCCAGCCACAAATGAGCTCTTGAGAGAGGAATGGGGACTAGCCAGGCTGCGGCCCGGGAGAGGGACAAGCCGCCCGCCCTGCGGTCCTGGGGTGCCAGCAGCTGCGCCTACGCCTGCAGCTTGGCCTAGGAAAGGGACAAGCTGCACGCCCCACCGTCCCGGGCACCAGCGGCTGGGGGCTGCAGCCCAGGAGAGGACAAGTCACCCGTGCCACGGTCCTGGGTACCTGCGGCTGCCGCCTAGGCGAAGCCGCCTGGCCCATGGTCCCCTGCGGCTGTGGCCGGCCCGGACACCTACAGCCAGCCGGTCCTGGGTGCCTGCGGCCGGCCAGAAAGAAGGAAGCCCAGGTCCCGGGTGCCTGCAACCAGCCGGAGGAGGGAATCCTGGGTCCTGGGTGTGGGGTGAGGCAGAGGTGGTTAGGAGCAATCAGGCCAGCAGGGGAGCAGTTAGGTGTGATCAGGCCAGCAGGGGAGCAGTTAGGTGTGGTCAGGCCAGCAGGGGAGCAGTTAGGGGTGATCTGGCAGGCAGGCAGAGGGGTTAAGGGCGATCAGGCAGGCAGGAAGGTGAGCAGTTAGGAGCGAGTGGTCCCGGATTGTGAGACGCAGTCGGACATCCCCTGTGGGGTCCCGGATTGGAGAGGGTGGGTGCAGGTCGGGCTGAAGGACCCCCCCCTCCCGTGCACATTTTTTGTGCACATTTTTTGTGCACCGGGCCTCTAGTATACAAATAAAATCTGTGTAAATAAAAATAGAAAATGCTATAAATATTTGTATTTTATATATGTGTGTATATATATGTTTTCCCTTTAGCATAACCACAATGTACAGTAGTTGCCCCCAAGTCCACATGCCATCATGCCAGCCAGTCAGTGGACGGCTTCTCCGGCCCTTGGCTTCTGTGACGCCAGCTCCCACTCTAGCGTCTGCTTCCACAGTGAGCCGGGGCCTGTCCTCCCAAACCCCAAGCTCAGGAGGCTTTCCGTTACCAGCCACCGTCCCACGTGTCAGGCTGGCGAGAGGGCGTCGCAGGGGACGGCTGCCTCCTGGACATCGGCCTCCTGGAAAACGCACCCGCGGCTGAGCAGCGCTGTGTTGGCATCACAGCATCGGTATCACTGGGGTCGGCGTAGCGGCATCAGCATGCGGGCATCACTGGTCCAGCTCGCCCTCGTTCTGCAGCGTCTTCATCGCCAGCCCCCACAGAGTCATGCTGGAAAAGAAGGGCCCTTCTGAGTTCCTGTACGCCGCGCCTGACACCCAGCTGCCCAGGGGGTCGCCGCAGGGATTGTCCAGAGTGGCCAGAGATGGGCGGACTATGGCCATGCTGTCCGTGGGCAGCGGCCCGTTGCTGGTGGAGGCGTCGGCGGCTGAATAAGCGAAGGCCTGAGGCTGCGTGTGCTGCCCGGGGGCCTTGGCGAGTTTGCCAGGATCCGCACTGAGCTTCTCCAGGTTGCCGACCCCACGTGGCTGAGGCGTGGACCGGAACTTACAGAAGGAGCCCGCAGAGTGGCCGTCAAATTCTGTCACGGGCTCGTCCACTGGGTGGATGGGGAGCTTCACAGACACGGGCATCAAAGTCACAGACACGTCCTGGGAGAAGGAGCCGGAGCTGGGAGCCTTGTCCAGGTCGGAGGCCTCGACGGCGTGGGCGAGCTCCCGCAGCGTGTCCTGGCCCCCATCGTCCGCGCGGCAGTGCATCCGCCGGTGCCGCCGCAGCACGGCCGAGCGGGTGAAGCACTTGTCACAGATCTCACACGTGTACGGCTTCTCCCCGGTGTGCGTGCGGAGGTGCCTGCGGAGGTCACCGGATCCCCCGAAACTTTTCCCTGCACAGAGAGAGGGGTCCTCTCAGAAGCGGGCATTGGGACATGAGTGGAGTGGAGCCTGCCACCACCCGCTCTGCCCTTCTCTCCCCTCTGCCCCCAGCAGCCCCCTCCCACCTGCCCCCTGGGTGTGGGGCCTCTCAGTGCCAGCCTCCTGGACCCTGTCTGCCTGCACAGGAGCCCCCGCTGGGCAGGCAGCTGCCACCCCTGCCGGCTGGTGGGTGCTGGAAACCCTGTCAGTTTCGTTTAAATTTCTGTGAACCTAGAGCAGCCGATCTATAATGAGAAATACTTTCCTCGCGGCATCTGTGCACTCACTTTCACTACAATTCTGCCCGTATTTCCCCGGCTTCTATGTCCTTTCCCTGCACATAGCATCAAGGTGGGGATTTGCTTCCACAGTCAGAGTTGGTGAGGGGATCAATAACCTTACAGAAGTCATAGCGTCATTACAGAGGAGTGAACACTACACACGTATGTACACGTATGTTTAACTGCTCCCTTGTCTGCATGTCGCTCTATTTGAATTCTCGGCCCTCCAGCCCTGATCAAGCAAAGGTGGGCTATCTATAAAAAACTGCCTTTCAACAAAACTAGCTGTCGATGCCCACGTGTTAAATTTTGGGATTTTTTCCTGTTGATAAAAATAAAAGGCCTTTCAAAGCAAGAGGCAACAGGCATTTAATTGAGATCAGTTAAGAATTCAGGAAGCACTGAGAGAGGCAGAAACCCGCCTCGTGTTCTGATGGGAGACAAAGGCGGGGGCGTGAATGAGAAAGGGAAGGGGGCAGTGACTGCCTAGAGGGAAGGCGCTGCTACTGCTGCAGACAAGCTAACTTAGTGATGCTAATTCTAAACCAGTTTTTAATTTTCAGCCCCGTGGTCATCAGACAGCAGTTAGAACAACTGCGTCCTTGTCTCTGCAAACAGTTCTCTGGACAGAGTGTGGCCTGAGCCCCGTCCAAAGTTACCACGCGGGACGGGACGGGACGGGCGGCCTGGTCGGGGCGTCACTCACCGCAGGCCGTGCAGCTGTAGGGCCGCTCCCCCGTGTGCCGGACGCGGTGCCTCACCAGCTTCCTCTGCATGTTGAAGGACTTCCCGCACTCGTCACAGGTGAACACTCTGTCAGCCGTGTGTGTCTTCTTGTGCTCCTTCAAGTTGCTGAAGTTGCTAAAGCCTGGAGAGACCACGACCGGTCAGCGGAGGCCCGCACGCGCCAGGCAGGCCTCCAGGAGGGAAAGGAAAGGAAAGCGCAGCCATACCTCGGCCACAGGTGTCACACAGGTGCGGCTTCTCTCCTGAGTGAATGACAATGTGGCGCTGGACGTCCCCAGAGGCTGCAAACCTGCAATGGATGTGAAACGCAGCTGAGAGCCCGTCCACCTCACGGCACTGGGCAGCGCGAGGCACGGAGGGCAGCTGCCCCGCCTTCCTGGGTGTAATGAGAGCACCGACTTCATTGGAAATGGGCATTAAAAATATCTTTACCTTTCCCCCCCTTTTCAAGGAGAGTAGAAAATAATGCAGGGTTTTGTTTGTAAGACACTTTTTCTACCTAGCGGCATCAATCTCTCTTCTTCAGAGATGGCCACCACCGGCTCAGAATAGGGAGTCATTCCCGCCCAGGTCTGGGATAGGAAATCTAGGTGCGTTCCCTCCCGCCACCCTAGAGGAATAACAAAAGGGAGGACGGGAGGCTGGGAAGGTCGGACTTCTTTGTTTCTACCACCTGCTTCCTGCACAGGTGACTCTGACTGCGCCATGGCCGTCTCTCCCTCACAGACCAGAGAATGTGCATGCTACCATCACAGCACTTACAGCAGCAGGTGGCTGACAGGTGCTGACTGAACGGATGGCTAAATGAACGGCTATAAAGCCAGGTGACTGGTACAGTCCGGGCTGATGCCTGTTGTCCAGCATGACTGTCAGAGGAGAGCATGTGGACTCTGATACCTGACCCCTGGGGGGGCGGGCAGCCAGCGTGTGGCTGTGTGCACGTGGGAGGGACCCTCTCCGCACTGCACCTCACTGCCACAGTGAGACTGCGCCAAGTGCCCGGGCTGAGCTCCGCCTGCCTTCCTGCTGCTGTTCCCACAGCCGGAGGCCGGGCTGGGCAGCCAGGCTGCAAGTCTCACATCCCGCTAGGAACTCACCTCCCAGGGCACTCATCTGCTTTCACGGCCATTTTTAGAAAGAATGGACATTTCAGTGTAAAATCATTCTGTGTCACATAAAACCCCATTTCTAAGACGTCTGTCCTGGGTGTTCCTTCTCTGAAGGACTGTCCTTGCCCTTTTGTTACTCATATGTGACATACAAGGCTAGGCAGAGGGTCTGACGGGCCTGCGCTCCTCCGTGGAGTGAGCCCCACGCGGCTCGTGTGCGAGCCCTCAGAGCTCTGCTTTCCACGGAGACCAGACCAGAGGGGCCCTAGAGGCGGAGGACAGCCCCAGCACTGACCTCTTGCCACAGACTTCGCAGATGTACGGTTTTTCACCAGAATGCCGACGCAAGTGAGTCTGCCAGTTACCGGCCTGCAAAAAAGGAGAAGCACAAGCATACCAATAATGAAAGGGTTTTTGGAAAGCAGGTCACACACATTCACATGGAAGACTAACAGGTTTACCAGGTTCCAGTCCACCTTCCAAGGAAGACTAGAAACACTCAGAAGGAGCCACGTGCAAGAGGAAGGACCGCCGGTTCTAACTGGGGGGGTCCCCACTCTGGTTTCTCCACTGTGCTCCTGGGCCAAGGGCTGCACTGGCTGCCCCATCGCGGGCCTGCCCTGGGCCGCTTCTCTCTTAAATGGGCGACACAGTGCAGGGTGCCGTGGAGGTTGCCAAGCTTGTACTTTAAACAGACCTTGATGTATTATTTCATACATTTTTAAACTTGGACCATCTATATGCAAGTAGCACTCGAGAAAAGCAGCAGCGCTTGCATGTGGCTACTCCCTGTTGTTTCTCCCTGAGAAACAAGCCTTGGTTAATAAAGGTAAGACTCCCCGAGCAGCACTCCCTCTGCAGCGGCTGCTCTGCCTGGTGGGCTGTCACGCTGTCCTGTGTGCAGAAATGAAATCAGGAGTCACTGCAGTCCTCCGTGGCAGGGACGCCAGGCTCCTGGTTTCTGACGCCAGCAGGGCTTTACCAAGAACGCCTGATTGAAAGGGAGGCCCCGGAGCAGACTGCCAGTGCTCAGCAACAGGCCGTCAATATTAAGTGGCCCGCAGTGAGGCTGAGACTGCAGATGCCTCAGACATTAAGCACTCCGGCTACTGCTTCCCACTCGGACGTGGAGGCAGAATTTCCCGCTGTGGAGGCTTCAGTTAACAGTCTCAGTCTGTCACATCCCTACTTAATATTTTATAGAGTTCTGCTAAAAACAAACACTGAAATAAGTGAGCATACCCACGGGAAACAATGCTCAGGCGTTATGCACAGAATAAGCCATGAAGGGGGCGTGAACAGTAATACCAACTAACAAATCTGGCTTTGTAAATCTGCATTTTTTTAAAAATATATATATTTTTACTAGAGGCCCGGTGCACAAAATTCAGGGCACAAGTAGGGTCCCTAGGCCTGGCGGGTGATCTGAGCCGATCGGGGCCTTCCGGCTGTCAGCCAGGGCCTCCCTTTGTTCCGCGCCACCCCCTGGTGGTCAGCACACATCCTAGCGAGTGATTGTGAACTCCCAAGGGGACAATTTGCATATTAGGCTTTTATATATATAGATTGATTTCAGAGAGGAAGGGAGAGGGAGCGATAGAAACATCAATGATGAGAGAGAAACACTGATCTGCTGCCTCCTGCATGCCCCCTACTGGGGAGTGAGCCTGCGACCCAGGCATGTGCCCTTAACAGGAATCAAACCCGGGACTCTTCAGTCCACAGGCTGACGCTCTACCCACTGAGCCAAACCAGCTAGAGCTAAATCTGCAATTTTAAAAAAATATTAAATGCAAAAGACAGTCCATGGTGACAGGTTTGAAGATGGGTCTGAAGTCCACCTGTGGGTGGAAACATACAAATGTACAGGAACAGAAACTGAGGTTGGGATTTTCTGTTATGACATGGAAGTCTGTCTGTCTGTCAGACAATGAGAAACACTGTGTTACATCCTACCTTTTAGAATATGATACATATGGTTTACACAAAATCTCGGGTTTATTTTAGGTAACCAAAGAAAAAGAACTTGGCAAGCCCTGACCAGTTTGGCTCAGAGGATGGAGCGTCGGCCTGTGGACTGAAGGGTCCCAGGTTCGATTCCGATCAAGGGCATGTACCTTGGTGGCGGGTGCATCCCCAGTGGGGAGTGTGCAGGAAGCAGCTGAATCGATGTTTCTCTCTCATAGATGTTTCTAACTCTCTACCCCCCTCCCTCTCCCTTCCTCTGTATAAAAAATTAATAAAATATATTTTAAAAAATTAAGAAAAAAGAACTTAGCAAAATATTAGGAAATACCCAGATTTTAACAGAATGACTATGAATAACAATAATAAAGTGACTGCCCAGCCAGTGTGGCTCAGTGATTGAGTGTTGACCTATGAACCAGGAGGTCACGGCTTGAATCCTGGTCAGGGCACATGACAGGGGTGTGCAGGAGGCAGCTGATCAATGATTCTCTCTCATCATTGATGTTTCTATCTCTCTCTCCCTTCCTCTCTGAAGTCAATAAAATATATTTAAAAAAAATAATAGTATAAAGCAACAAATGCTTGTAGCAATATATATCTGGTCTACGTAGGCCTTCACACACATTACCACACTACCCTTAGTAACTGGCACTGACATCTATTTTCTAGATGAAAACGAGGTCCAGCTAAGGGGGTTGCTCCAGTTCCTCGGCTGGGCCAGGAATGGATGCCGCTGGTGTGAGAACTGCCGCCTTACTGAGGGGAACCCTGAGGACAGCACATTTCTGTGGCTAAACTAGCTTGTGTGGAGCACTCAGTGTGACAAGGCCACGGTGCCCTCAGGAAGCAGCCTCCTGGAGTGAAGTAACGCACCCCTGGCTGTGTTAGACCAGTCACTTCCAAATTTCAGAAAAGCTCATCAGTCATGGAACAATTCAAACAGCACCGTCTGCTCAGCTGTTAAATGAGATCCCTCCTTCCCAGCTGTTTTGTAAACTATGTATGAAGATAGAAATTGTCTCTGAATCATTCCCAGCAATGCTGCATTGTCCATTTTTAAGTCAAGCATAGCAACTGTTTATTTTCCAAGTAAATATCATTGAATGGTCTTCCACTATTATAATAAGCATAGTGAAAAAATTTTAAAAAGGTTTCTTTAGGTATTTAATAGTGGAAATGAATAATGGAAATAATTTTTCCCCACAGAAAGGAGCACATATTAGTCTGACAAATTATATAAAAGTACATTAAATAATAGAAAAATTCAGGCAAAAATGTCCAATAATGTGTTCAGATAATTTATATCAAATTATGTGGCAAATTGGGGCCCAGATTGTTTGACCTTTGTTATGTTTTCAGTTGTAGTAAACTTTGCTATGCTCTAATTATATGCTAAGGACATAGATCACATCTTAGAAATTACCTATATATAGCCGGATCCACGAAAACTCTGGTAAGAGGTAATAATAATAGCTGTCAAGTGCTAAGATGCTACTATGAATGAAGCACTTGACTAAGTTGCAAGCAGTGTTTCATGTAATCATCACAATGTCCTTATAAAGGAGTGTTGTTCCCATTTTACAGAGCAGACTGGGGAAGGAGGACTGAGCTGCGGACAGCGTCAGGGCCCAGTATGGGGGTGGGGGAGGTGAACACTTATCTTGTTTCAGAAGGAAAAAGAGGCTGCATTCAAAATGTTCTCTACAACATTGCATCTCTGGTTCCTTTAGGCCCAGTGCCCAGATCAGCACACAGCCCATCGGACACAATAAACACTGGCTGGATGAGAGATTTAATACTTCATCTTAATAAGGATCAGCTACAAGGCAGCAAAAGCAGAGAATGAAAACTGGTCTGTTGTCCAACATCCTAACATCTACAGTCCCAACAGGAAGGAGGAGGCATCTGGCTGAATGCAGCCCAGCCTCATTTGCAGCCTCCAGATGTGAGCTCAACATGGTTTACTGCATCTCTGAGAGGACAGACTAGGACTGCACCCACCCGGGGGACGGGTGGGTTGTGAAGGGCCCTCACACTTATAAAAAATGGCATGTTTTCCCCAATGTACTAGGATTTTGCTTTCTTAAAAATTATTTTCTCCTGATGTAGACTAGTCTTTAAGTTACAGATACCTTCAGAGGCTTCTCTCGCAACTCCAATGCATGTCTTACTTATAATAAAAATCAACACTAGGTTTCAGGTTTCCAACTATTAACAATAAATAAAAGTATTCCCACCTGAGAGAAATGTTTCCCACAAATGTTACATTCAAAAGGTTTCTCACCTAAAACAAAACAAAACAACAGCTTGTAAAATCATTTGTTTTATCTGCACAACCATTTTCTGTTTAAAATGTTTAAACTATCCCGTGTCCACCACTCAAAGCAGAGACTACGTTCCTCATCATGAGTGTATGAAAACGGGAGTCCACACCTCTTCCTCGTCTCTCGTCCTTAGATAGTGGGCAGGGATGACAAACTGAAATCTGTGATTAGTTTTCTCTAAAAAATCAAACTGTGCTCTAGCTGATTTGGTTCAGTGTATAGAGCATCGCCTGCAGACTGAGGGTCCTGGGCTCGATCCCCCGTGTGGGGTGTGCCAAAGGCAGCCAATCCATGATTCTCTCTCATCACTGATGTTTCTATCTCTCTCTCTCTCCCTCTCCCTTCCTCTCTGAAATCAATAAAAATATGTTTAAAAAATCAAATTGTTCTCCAAATATAAACCTATGTTGAAGTCAAACTTAACTTGTTAGCGTTCAAACCCTGCCTTGGTTTTGGGCACTGGCTTTCCCTTCCGCTGAAAATCAACTGTGAGTTTCTTTGCTGAAGGGCCCGAACCTTCTTACAGCCCCTCAGCCCGACTCCTTTACTCTCACACCAGCTCCTAACAGAACCAGGGTCTCGTTCACACACGTGAGGTGTGGGCACGGCACAGCCACAAACCGAGACGGGCCTTCTGAAGGTGGGACGGGGAACAGCCCTGCCCCTGCATTTGGCCTTGGCTGACCATGCTCCCAGGGGAAAACAAGAGGACACCATGGGAGCCACGTCTGATTTAGAAACTAAGCAATTACGCTTTGGTATAGAATAACCTGTGGAGAAGGGAACTCCGCCACCAAGAAACCACAGCAGCCCTGAACACAGACTAGAAAATGACCATTTTAACAGTACACTTCCAGGTGCCACCTTGAACCTAGGGAACTAACAAATAGGCTGGGCAGACCAAGAACCTTCTGACCCCCCCCCGTCCCCCCCCGCCCCACAAGGGGTTTCACTCTTTAAAAATGACAATACCCCTTCCTTCTATATTGCTGGCTGCTAGCTTTCTGGGCTCCTGCCAGGATACTTTTACTTTGATTTTTTCCTGAAACTGTTTAATGGCTTCTTCAATGGCTTCTTTCTGGAGCAGGCAGAAAGCTTTTGACTGAATAATTATAATTATACTAAAGGCCCAGTGCACAAAATTCATGCATGGGTAGGGTCGTTAGGCCTGGCCGGCAACCAGGGCAGATCTGTGGGGCGACCAGCAGGGTGATCAGGAGGTCCCCCGCTGGTACCTGCCTTGGCTGGCCTGGGGCCTGCACGCTGGGGGCAGTTCCTGTGTTGAGTGCCTGCCCCCTGGTGGTCAGTGCATCATAGCAACTGGTCATTCCACTGGTTGTTCCGCTGTTCGGTGGATTTGTATAATAGGCTTTTATTATATAGGATAGGATTACTTCAGTATTTTGGGACATTTATGTCGGAAATTATGGGGATAGTAGATAATGTTAAGTTAAAGCCCCCATTATGCGATCCAAGAATTTGAAAAAAAGAGGCCACTGGTTATTAAGACTCCCAAGTGACCAGAATTGATAACCTTATTCCAGTGGTTCTCAAACGCTTTGCTCTCAGGATCCCTTAACACTCTTAACTGAGAACCTAAAGCATTTGGTTATGTGGGCTACACCCGTCAGTACAGTCCATACTAGAAATGAGGACGGAGTGATTTTTAACACATGACTAGACAGCTCACTGGCCACCCGGGTAATGACAGCCTGTAGCCGACTCCACTGCACACTTGTGGGAGAAGACAGACAAGGCAAGTAACATCCTACATGGTGACAGAAACAGTCCGGCCTCACAGACCCTGGGAGAACAACTCAGATCGTAAGTCGAGGACCACTGCTCTCTCAATAGAGTACGTCCAAGTGAGCATCCCACCGTAATGGATGACATTATTGTTCAAAAGAACAAACAATTTAACTTTTAAAGCTAAACAGATACGTTTCTCAAAAATTATACTGATCATGAGGCTCTAGGAAATTCAAGCAAATGGAAAGACCTAAATTAAGTTGTTTTTTTTCAGGGCAAAACTGAATCAGTGATACTGCCTTCATATGGAGAATACTTCTGAACTACTAGTAACAATAAAGGTAATACTTTATATATTCACATACATTACAATTTATAAAGGGCTTCCATAAATATTAAGTCTCTCTCCACAATGCAGTGAGGTGGTAAACACCTAGACACACCAGGAGTCAGTGATAGCAGAACGTCACATCGATAATTGCAATTGCACAAACGTCTTAAAAGCAGTTACTCTGGAAGCATCTGTAGCTCATCACTTCCCATGCCTGTGAGGTAACTGCCATTCACCCGCCGTGTGTACTAGAGTCATCCTGCGTAAGTACAGGAAGTAACACACACGTACTGTATAAGGAAACGTACATGTGCCGTATAACACTTTTAAAAAAGCTTTTGAAAAAGTAAACTTTTTGGAAAGGGGAGGAGGTATGAATTAAGGAAATAAAACTTTGAAAATTCAATGTTCAAAATGGAAGAACTTTCATTTGAAAATATCAAATGGTTAAAGCTGATCCTTATTAAAAAGTTTACCTCCCACCTTCTGAATCACAATTTTTAAAATCTGATATTCACATTACTTCCCTGAGAACTTTTAGAATTACTCAAACTAAATAATTACGCTTTTAAAGAATAAACTTAATCTAATTCTAAAGAGACAACTAAATATAGCTTATCTGTTTTAGAACTTGAAAATTTCAATCCATCAAAATAATTTACTATACTTCTTTAGAGATGGAAAGTTTGTCATAAAAACCTAATTAAAATAAAAATGAAGTGAGACATCTTTTAAAATTGGCTCTATGAAAGTATCTATAGATTACGCTTTAAGAGGCATCTCCAAAACTATGAATTAAAAAGTAGCTAACGCTCCTTGATTATTTTTGTGTGCAAATGTCAACGCCACAGCAAAACTTCTTACAGAGAGGAGCAGGCACCGTGTGCGTCTGCGCTCTTGCCTGTCCAGGCCCGCGGGCACTGGGTCAGTGTGCGTGTACCTGTATGGGACCGTTTGTGAAGCTCCAGGTTGCTTGGGTGTTTGAAAGGCTTCCCACACAGGTCACACGCGTACTGCCACTGGGACTGCGGCGTCTGGAACTGGTCCTCTGGAGCCTCCAGGTCTTCAGGACTCTCCGTTTTGATAATGCAGTGGAAGCTGTCGGAGCTGCCGGGTTCTTCACGTTCCTTCTCCCCAGTGTGTTGACTGCTGGCTTCCTCTGTGGTGTTGTCACTAGCAGGGCCAAGCCTCTGGGTTAGACCCTCATCTGATGTGGGTTCAGCAGTTTGCTCTGCAGACTTCTGTGACTTCAGGAAATTGAGCTTCTTCAGGTGAATGGCCTTTTTGAGCCTCATCTGTTTGGTGGGTGGCTGGCACGTGCTGTCTGACTCAGGGTCTGGGGCAGGTTCACTCAGAGGCTGGGCCAGGAAGTTGGGAGGCAGGTGCTCCGCGGACTGCAGGGCGCATTCGGAATGACTGACAGCACAAGGCTGGTTTTCCACGGCAGCCGGGCCTGTGGATGGGCTGACAGTGAAAGGCTGCTCGGTTATTCTCTCGTGACTGGGACAAGCGGCTTGCTTATAGTACTGCTTACTGTACAAGTTTCTCAGTTTGTAGTAGTAATTTGGCTGTTTGAGCGGCAGTTCTGTGCAGCTGCTGTCTAAAGTGTCAGTGCCTAGTTTCGACGCTTCGCCTGCAGGGTGATGAAGCTGAACTGACGGTGGAGCCTGAGAGTGTGACTCGTCCAAGGCCTTACCGTGCTGCACGTCCGCCGAACACGCAGGCAGTACGTGAGAAGAGTAGCTTTCACTGAGAGCACAGCTGGTGTCCGGAGCCGGAGTGCCCGGCAGGGAGAACACGCTACCACCAGGCACGCTGGGTGGCTGCTCCACAGGGGCTGATTTTAGGAACGTGTGACACAGACTCAGAACGTTCTGCACTTGCAGACACTGTGCTGTGTCCAGCATCACCTGCACATTGTCCTGGTTCAGGTCCAGGTGTGACGTGTACATGAAGTCCAGGATCTGCCCAATGCCGCTGACATTCTTAATATCCAAGTGAAAAACATCGCTCTTCTGGCCGGGAGAATTCTGGAAGAGGCTCCTGACAAAACAAAGATGCCTGTTTCAGTGTTAACAATTCATACACACTCTTAACTTTCTCTTACAAATAATATTCATACTAATATTCAAAACAGCAATACTTCTATAAATGCCAGAATTTTATAATTAAGCGGGCTTTAACCCTTTTAAAAAATCTGGCTGGCAAGTCATCCAATAAAGCAATTCAGATAAATGAGTGTGATGAATATCCAAACTTCCAAGTAGATATCCAAGGAAGATTATGCAGTATACCCATGGCTCTTTTATCAAATAATCCATATGCATTATTAATAGTATATAGAGTACAGAAAACTAAAGGACACACATTTTTCACTACTTCCTGTTTGTAGTCTGACAAATCATGTATTTTATTTTAGGCCATAAAACACATATAAAAATATTTCCATATCTAAGTGCCTTAAAAAGTCTAAAAATAAAAATAGCTATAATAAACCAACCCTCAGTATACATTCATTTTGTTTATTAAATACATTTTTATTGATTTCAGAGAGGGAGAGGGAGGTAAAAACATCAATGATGAGAAAGAATCATTGATCAGGTGCCTCTTGCATGCCCCCTACTGGGGATCGAGCCTGCGACCTGGACATGTGCCCTGACCAGGAATCGAACGGTGACCTCCTGGTTCATAGGTCGATGCTCAACCATTGAACCACACTAGCTGGGCTACACTCATTTTTTTAATCTTAATTTTTAATTGTGTAAAAATTACATAATATTAAACATTTAATTATGGTTCAAGTGGTAAATTCAATGGCATAAAGTACATTCACGATGTTGTGCCACCATCACCTTTATGCATTCATTCTTAGAACCTTTGCATCATCCCAAAGAGAAACTCTGTTCCCATTAGACACTAACTCCCACTCTTCCTGCCCGCCCCTGGCATCACCATTCTGCTTCTGTCTCTCTGAATGTGACGGCTCTAGGACCCTGATACACTCTCATTTTATACTCAGTCACTCCTCTAGCTGTCTAGCAACCCAATGGTCCATACATCAGCAGTGAGAAAAGCCCTAGGAGTGAATGCGGGAAGAAAGGGCACACTTCCATAAAGCCCACACACTATATTCTGGGCACAAATCAAATTCACCGGGGAAGGAATCTGTATGGTGTAGAATATCAAGCTAAGTTAGGTCAGTTGTCTTGCAACGTTGTTGGAGACATTTTATCAGATGCAGTCACCTGCTTCCCCAAACAGCTCAGGTTGTGGGTTTGATCCCCAGCCGGGGTGCATATGGGAGGCAACCAATTGATGTTTCTCTCTCTCTCTTCCTCTTTCTAAAGTCAGTAAGAACATACTCTCCGTACAGTGAGAACAACAGAGACTGAAATCGCACCTGAAGTACTGGCTGAAGGCTGCGAGGACATTCTTGTGCGCTTTGAAGCAGACGCCGTTCACCACCAGCATGCAGTCACAGAGCAGGCCCTGGATGCGCTGCTCGTGCAGCTGCTGGAGGAGGTGGCAGCTGTGCGTGGCCACCGGGTCCATGCTCAGGCACTCAGGAGACCTGCACAGAGGACGCAGATAAAACATGAGTCTCGATGACAAGACTGGGAACTAAACGGCACCAAGTCCACGGATTGATCTGTGGTTCACTGTCATGAGTCCCTGTCACAGCAGCTTAAAAAACAAACATGCAAACAAACAAAAAAGTCGTTTCTTAAGCATCTTAACCAGTGCTGTTCAATGGAACTACCTGTGAAGATAAAAATGTCCCTAGAACGCTTCTGCTCCTCTTACTACGGCCCTAATCTGCCGTACTTCCTCCCCTGCAAGCCCCCGAAGGCTACTGTCCCTTAACACTCAGCCCTGAGCCATCTTCACTTTCCCTTGACAACATATCTATCTCCGGCCTTCATCTGTTGTAAGCAGACAAGTCCTAAATTTGGAACTTTAACTTCAACCACCAGTTGCAGATGTCCAACTTTCTGCTAACCATCTGTAACTGTATGACCCCACAGCTAAGAATCTCAAAAACCTACCCCCATTATCTCACCCTCAGCTCAGCACCTTGTTCTGACTCCCCTGTTTCTTCATGGAAAGCTCAGTTTCTGGTATGTGGATTGGGGGTGCTGACATGATCTCCTGGTTTGAGATCAGGGTGGCATTCAGAGGACACCGGGACGAGAGGCGAGGTCATCTACAAGGAGCCACATGCAGCACTGGGAGTGGATGTTACCCAAGAGGGGACCAGGAAGGGGAGCCTCCGTCAGGCGGCGGGGCACTGTCCCTAGTGCTGAATCCTCAGAGATACAGAGCAGCCAAATGACTGAGTCATCAGTCACCCACCCCATCCCCCTGGCTGCCAGGGAAGAACAGGATTCCTGGTTTACTATTAGCATCATTTACCGACTGCTCACTACAGGCCGGGCACTGTGCTAAGCATATTACATACGTTAACTCAAATAATGCCCTAAGAACCATTATCGCCATTTTACAAGTCAGGAAGTTAAGAAATGGGAGTTTAAGTAACATGCCCGTGATCATAAAACTTATGTTCCAATGCCAGCATTTAAATGCTGGTTCCTAAACCCACAGTCAGTGCTAGTGGGCTATGCTATCGTCCCTGAGAAAAAGGATGTTAGAAAACACAGCACATAACCTGCCTCCAGACTCCAATGCTGAAATGCAGCAAATGTTCGGAAGGGACACTGGACGTTTTCTAGCTCTACAGAGGTGACAAGGGGAACAATTCTTTGGAATGACCCTCAGAGTTATGATGATCTGCAAAGTCACAAACTATTCCATAATTTACTTTGACAATAAAAATCATAATTAATCTGCCCTGGCCGGTTTGGCTCAGTGGCTACAGCGTCAGCAGGAGGCAGCCAATCAATGATTCTCTCTCATCATTGATGTTTCTATCTCTCTCTACCTCTCCCTTCCTCTCTGAAATCAATAAATATTTTTTAAAAATCATCATCAATCTAATAGTTTCATGAAGTTAATCCTATAAGACCCTTATAAAAAGCTGCTAGAAAAAGAATTGGTAATTTATATTTCTTACTAGAGGCCTGGTGCACGAAATTCATGCGGGCGGGGGGCGGGGGGAGGGTGGTCCTTCAGCCCGGCCTGCACCCTCTCCAATCTGGGACACATCGGGGGATGTCTGACTGCCTCTCGCAATCTGGGACAGCTGGCTCCTAACTGCTTGCCTGCCTGCCTGACTGATCCCCCCCTAACTGCTCCCCTATCGGCCTGATCGCCCCTAACCGCTTCTGCCTTGCCCTACACCCAGGACCCAGGATTCCCTCCTCTGGCCAGGCGCAGGCACCCAGGACCCCGGCCAGCTTCGCCTGGGCTAACTGCAGCCGCAGGCGCCCGGGACTGTGGGTGGGCGGCTTGTCCCTCTCCTGGGCCGCAGCTGCAGGCACTGGTGCCCGGGACCGTGGGGCAGGTGGCTTGTCCCTCTCCCGGGCCGCAGCTGCAGGCACTGGTGCCCGGGACCGCGGGGCAGGTGGCTTGTCCCTCTCCCGGGCCACAGGTGCAGGTACTGGTGCCCGGGACCGCGGGGCAGGCGGCCTGACCCTCTCCTGGGCTGCGGCTGCAGCTGCTGGTGCCTGGGACCGCGGGGACCATGGGGCGTGCGGCTTGTCCCTCTCCCGGGCTGGGCCACAGGCGCAGATGCAGCCGCTGGCACCCAGGACTGCGGGGTATGCGGCTTGTCCCTCTCCCAGGCTGCAGGCACAGGCACAGCCACTGGCACCCGGGACCACGGGGCGGGCGGCTTGTCCCTCTCCCGGGCTGCAGCCTGGCTGGTCCCCATTCCTCTCTCGTGAGCTCATCTGTGCCTGGCTGGTCCCCAATCCTCTCTCCCCAGTGTTGAGTGTCTGAGCCATGACAGTGTGAGGACATGAGGGAGTAACGACCATTTGCATATTAGCTCTTTATTATATGGGATGTGTCCTATGTGTAACAACTACAAGTAACAATGTATACACCTAATAAAATAACAACAAATATGTATAAAATGTTTCCTATATGCAACCAGGCACTATAATGAGCCCCTTACAAGTCACCGCATTTAATGATCAGCGTCCCGGTGAGAGAGGCTGAACTGTCTCTAGAGGGGGACAGCGAGCACCTGCAGGTGACGGGGCCGCAGGTCTTCCCTCTCCTCCTAGGGAAGCCGCCGTCTCCTCCCCGGGATCTGAGCAGCCTCGGCCCCTCACCCGCAGCAGCAGCGTGTTGGAGACAGGCCTTTACAGGGGCGATTAAGTTAAAACCCTAAACCAGTCCTCCTGACGCCCTCCGAGGAGGAGGAAATGTGGGCACAGAGCCCCCAGGGGTGCTCCTGCCCAGGACCCGGGGAGGACTGCACAGGACAGGGGGCCACAGGCTAGAGAGCAGCTCCGAAGAGACACGGCGACCCCTGGGCCTTGGCCTCTCACCCCGGAGCCTCCGGTGTTTGTGGGGGCAGCTCTAGCAGGGAACACGCCTTCCCTTCCAGACCGACACTTCGCTGCGGGCGAAACCCTCCTGCTCGCACACTCGCCCCCTCCGCTCACACCCATCACCGCACGCCGGCCGGTCTGAGGCCCGACACCGGCTCCGGGCAGGCCGAGCAGGAGGCCGGTAGGGCAGCGGGTGGGGTTTCCCGGCCGCAGGAGCCGCACGAGGGCGAAAGGCCCCGCTGCAGGGCGACACCGGGTCTGTGTCCCGGAGCCAGCGCTCGGATCGGCGCCGCCGCGGGTCCATCCCGCACGACCCGCAGCTCTCCGCCGCCCCTCGCGGAGCCCGGGATGCGGGGCGGCGGCTCCCTGCCCTGCCCGCCTCCTCTCGGGCCGCTCCACCGGGCGGCACCCGCACGCCCTCGCCTCGCGGCCCCGCGGCCACCTTACCCTCGGACGCCGCTCTCGGGCCCGCCGCCTTCTCCTCACCCGCCGCGCCGCCCCCAGAGCCGCTCGCGGGCTCCCCGGGGGTTTCAGGACCGGCCCGACAACGCCTCCTTCGGCGGCCCGGGCCCGCCCCCCGGCTGCGGGCATCGTCACTTCCGCCGGGGGTGTGGCCGCGGCGCGCATGCGCGGGGCAGCGCAGAAACGAATTCTGCGCCGGGAAGCGAGGCGGGCGGGCGGCGGCGGCGGCTGCGCTGGGCTGGCGGGCGGCCGGCGCTCGTGCTCCCCGCGGCCGGTTGAAACCGTTGGCGGACGCCGGCTGAGAGGTGAGGGGCGGCGGCGCAGGTCCGACCTGGGAAGCGGAGCGCAGAGAGTGAGGGGGCGGCGCGGCCGTGCCTGCGCTTTCCCCGTCGGGGTCCCTGTCCGCCCGGGAGGAGGCCGTCCCTTCGGACCTGGTTCGTGCCCCGGGAGGTGGAGGGAGTCCTGGGCTTAGAACGACCGGCTCCTCTCGGTTTTAAAGGCGGATCCCTCTCTGCTCTGGGCAAAGCAAGCGTTGCCCCGCTGGACTGGGCTCAGGCTGGGGGCAGGCTGCTGTCTTCCCGGGCTCGGGGAGCTCGGTCCGGAGAGGGGCGGCCTCAGGGCGGGGGGTGGGGAGCCGGGACCTCGGGCCAGAACCACAGCGTGTGGATCCAGGTTCGCCACCCACTGCACGCGTGACCCGCTGCGAGTTACTAACCTCATTGTGCCTCGGTGTCCTCGTCTGTCAGAAGGGAATAATGCGAAAGTAGCTCCGAGGACTGCTGTGCGGGGTACACGAGCGCAAACGGGGAAGCGCTGTGGCAGGCAGGGCTTGGGACCTACGGTCTCAGCAGGTGTCAGGGTGTCCTGCAGCCCATACGGCTGGGGAGACCGGTAGGGAAGGAGGTGGAGGGTGAGTATTTGCAAGGATGACTTCCCTGCAGAGAGGGGCCACGTGGGGCTCGTTCACGCAGCTCTCCCACAGCCCCCCGCCCCCTGTCCAGCATAGAGCCGGACAGGTAGGAGACCTCCACGGACAGTTCCCCCCCCAGTGAAGGGATGCTGCTTCAGGCCGTACTGGCGATGTAGTGTGTGTGTGTGGGGGGGGGGGGGGGGGGCGGGAGCTGGCTTCTCCCCGCCTCAGTTTGCTCACCTGTGGAGTGGAGATGGGTGTACCTACTACCTGTGGGTTTTTTGCAGAGAGCAAGGGAGAGGTCCTGCGTGGATGCACCCCCCATTCGGGGGTTTAGGCGGGACGGTGGACAGTACCTACTCCAGCGATTCTCAACCTGTGGGTCCCCAACCTGTGGGTCATGACCCCTTTCACAGGGGTCACCTAAGACCATCGGAAAACACACATATAATTACATACTGTTTTTGTAATTAGTCACTATGCTTTATGTTCAATTTGTAACAATGAAAATACATCCTGCATATCAGATATTTACATTACAATTCATAACACTATAACAGATTACAGTTATGAAGTAGCAACGAAATTAATTTTATGGTTGGGGG